TTGATTGATGGTAAGATAGGTTGGTTGCATGTGATTGTTGGGATGATCATGGGGTTTTCGGTAGTTTATCATTTTAAGCCGGAAATGCGTTAATCGGTAGAGCTGGAGTTTTATCGGGTGGAATTTAGAATATATTATGTGGCTAAGTTGCATTAGTGATGTGGGAATTGGTTTGAGTAAAATCGGGCGATTTCGAAGAGTGTTGCCGATTCTGAACAGTGGGGTTTTTGTGAAATCGCAGACTTTCGCCAGCACTTTCACTAGGCGAGCGAATAGCGAGCATTCGCTGATGCTTCGCTAGGCGAACTGGGTAGCGAGTGCTTCCAATAGCCACTGTCTGCCTTCGCTAGGGAGTTTACTGGGCGAGCGAGTAGCGAGACTTCGTTGATGCTTCTCTAGGCGAGTGAGTCAGCGAGCATGACAGTAGTTTGTGTTTTTGGTGCTGTTATGTTCTATTCCTTGGTGTTATTGGACCCTTGTTGGTCATGACTGAATATGAGTCTGATAGTGAACTGTGGAGAGTGTATGTGTGGTGTGGAACATGATTCCGAGTTATTCGTTTAATTAGAATACTTTAATGGGTGTATGTTATTATACATGGATGTGGTGATATGTGGAATATATATATATATATATATATATATATATATATATATATATATATATATATATATATATATATATATATATATATATATATATATATATATATATATATATATATATATATATATATATATATATATATATATATATATATATATATATATATATATATATATATATATATATATATATATATATATATATATATATATATATATATATATATATATATATATATATATATATATATATATATATATATATATATATATATATATATATATATATATATATATATATATGCTGTGTGATGAAATATGATCAGTAGGATCGTTTGCACTTAGTGTGTTTGATGTTGTGTGTTGTGCATTGGGGTTATGCATAGCATGTAGTGATGATGTGCTCCTGTGTGGAGGGTGATGGCCTAGTGTCCATCAGTGATTGTGAGGGATAGATTATGTCTAAGGGGAGCGTAAGTAATCTATCCTATTTATGATGTGCTCCTGTGTGGAGGGTGATGGCCCAGTGCCCATCGGAGATGATGATGTGCTCATGTGTGGAGGGTGATGGCCTAGTGTCCATCGCTGATGATTTTGTGCTCCTTCGGGGGGGAGGTGATGGCCTGGTGTCCATCGTTGTTGTTGAGTCGGTACCGCATATCATGGTGTTGAGTTGCATATGTTTGCATTGGTATGTGTGTTGTGTCGGTGTTGGATTGTAGGTCCGGGTTGATGTATGATGAATGATGTTTGTTTGTTTACTGCCTTTTATTCATGTACATTATTACCGTTATATTTTGATCATGATTTCTCACCCCTTGTTGTTGTTGTTGTGGTCTGTGCTTCTTCGGAAGTACAGATAATCCAGGTGTGTAGCTAGCTTGGATAGTGGCGAGTCGAGTCGTAGGGATGCTCTGATACGTAACACGGGGCTTTTGGGAGTTATTTGTTTATCTGATGATTTTGTTGTGACTCCGTGTCGTATCATGTTGTGATTAATCCTTTTGATGGATATATTTTTTATATTTTGGGCGGATGTCCGAATATTGATGTACATGATGTTTATATGTATATATCTATATGATGATTTCTGCTGCTTATTGTTGAATTCACATAAATGAACGTTTGTTGAGATTCGATTTTGTGACATCCCGTGTTGGTGTGATAACTCTGATATTTGTTTTGGTTTAAATTGCATTTATTTTATTTTTGGGAAGTGTGGTGTTACACACTCGGCCAATATGCGCTCGCGGGAAGCGACTAGAGCCGTGTATTCTGTGAATCGGCGGGCGGGACCGCGTTGCTCGCTGGGGAGATCCTCTCATTGTCGTTCTCCTCCGCGCCGGTGGCTCGAGGCTTCGTCCTCTCGGGACCCACGGGGAGTCTCTCGGTCTCAAGTGTTGCGGGCGGAGTTGGCCGCTTGAGTCTCCTCGAACCGGATGTAATGCGCGGCCCTGTCGAGGAAGTTTTGCAGAGAGGCTGGTCGGTGTATGGCCACAACTTTGTAGAATTTGGAGTCTCGGCGCATGCCTTGCTCCATCAAGTAATGTTTCATCTCGTCTGACGTCGTTACCTGCACTGCCTCTCGTGTGAACCTTTCGATGTACTTTCGGAGGGGTTCATCGGAGGCCTGGATTATAGCCCCCAACGCGGCCTCTGTCTTCGGATGGCACCGGGATGCTGTGAAGTGTCTTGAAAAGAGATCCTTCAGGACCCTCCACGATGTGACCGATTCTGGCTCCAGACTTTTGTACCACGTCATGGCACCTTTCCTCAGCGTTGTCTGGAAGAGTCTGCATTTGATAGATCCTCGGACATTTCGATAGTCGAGCATGGCCTCGATGTCTTCCAGGTGGTCGTCTGGGTCGGAGGTACCGTCATACGTCGAGAGTGTTGGGGGCTTCTCCATCCCGTGGGGGATGAGAGCCGCCATGATCTCTCAGGACAAGGGGGTCCTGTAGTCGTCCTCGTCACTGAGAGTTGGTGATTGAGGGGGTGATGGCCCTGGTGGCGGAGGTGCCTGATTTCGCATCCTCGGCCTCCTGATCGGGGGTTCGACTCTCGGAGGTCTGGTCGGCGGATCCCCCACGCTGGCCGTTGCTCCCGGACTTGTCTCTTTGGCGACCTGGTCCGCTCCCGCACTACTTCGGGTTAGGGCCTCTCTAGCCGGGGTCGACAATTCCTAGGACGAGGGGATGGACTCCTCGAATTTCCATTTTGGTCATCCCGCGGAGGGGACCTCAACGGGACTTCGTGCTCTAGTGCGCCAATTCGTGCGTTCTGTTGGAATAACAGCTGATTCGTTTGGTTGATGGCCGCGAAGAGGGCAACCACTGTCGGGTCTGCTCCGGCCGGGACAGGGATAGGCTGGAAAGCTGCCGGGCTCCTTGGTCGAAGAACAGTCTGGTGTGCAGCTTCCGCGGACGAGGGAGAGGCAGTCTGGTCGTCCCTCTCGTCGGTCTCCGGAGGTTGGGATGCTTCCGTTTGCTTGCCGCCGTTCGCGGCGGGAGCGAAGGTGAGCCGTGAACGACATCGTCGTGGTGTGGGCTAACCATGATCGTGGAATGTTGATGAAACTTTGGTTCTCTGCTCGGAGGAACGAGGAAGTTTTATGTTCCCACAGGCGGCGCCACTGATCTGGCCTGATTAGGAGGGGATCGCTGGCTGCCACGCGTCTTTGACTTACTGCCTGTTCACCGGTGTTGAGGAAAAGGAGGGGGTGTACCTGCAAGACACTCTGATGCCAAAGTAAGGAATTGGGCAGAGTGAGAGCAAATACAGAAAAGGGGTAAGAAGTGAATACCCGACCCTCTTGTGAAATAGGGTATTTATAGAGAGACCCCAGCGCAGGGCCAACTGTCATTTGAGTTGGGCTAGATGGCCAGGCCCAACCCAAGTGACTGCTAGGGCTTACGTGGCGTAGTGAAGACTAGAACGTGGTCTTCGCCCTAGTTCAACTGCTCTGTGATCTCCGGAAAGTGGGTTTGACCTGCTCTTTCAGAGGTGGGCAGTTGGTTGGTGACGTGTCCCCGTGGAGGGGAGCACGTAAAGAACGTGTGAAGGACACGTTGTTCTGCCCGCGGAAGGAGAAGGTCCTGCCCGCGGAGGGAATTCTTTGCCTGACGAGGACCTTGTGCTCGACGACAGTAGCCCAAGTCAGATTGGACCTACTGCACATTACTGGGCTGGGCCTGCTCGGTCAAGTCAGGGCCCAGGGCAGAACAGTTGTGGTTGAATTTTCATCAAGGAACATACATGTTTTTTTTTATATTTTTATCAAACAACAAGTAACCCACTATTTTTACAACTTTGTATTTACTCTGGACCACGTACAAATCTGTCGGTGCAATCACAGTCATCCAAAACTCTTGACAAAATCTCAAACATTTAAAATTTTAAAATAACACTACCGAAAATTTCAATTAGGTTAAAATTTCTGGTATCAACCTTTAAATTTTAAATTTTAAAAATTTATTGAAACATATTAAAAATTTTAAAATTTCTGATATATAAAAAATTTAAAATATACTACCGAAATTTTGATGAAAATTTTTGTTTTGCCTACTAAAAATTTGAGACAGAAATTTCATTCAATTTTCAATAATTTTTACAATTAAAAGTACGAAGGATCCCGGATATAATTGGAGGGTGACAAATTAAACTTCCAACTTTACTATTGTGACCCACCTCGTTAAATCTATTAAAACAGAAACCGGAACGAGAACCGGAACCGCCCATTCCAATCCGGAAGGTTTTTAGTATCAAGTTTCGGATTGTTCGATTACCCACAGATATATTTACTAAAACCGACCCATTCCAATCTGTTTTAAACTGATTTTTCCACGATTTTGATTTTGTTTTTTTCAGTTTCGGGCGGGTGAGCAGTTCTTATCCACCCCTAATTTTCGATAAAGTTAATACCAACTTGCACAATACTCTTTCTACTTGATATTTCCTCAGTCACACAGTATTCGTTGCACGGTGTCCAATTACTCATTGGATAAAATGATTAAATTTAATTTGCAAACTAAACTGATCATCCATAGCACAATTTTTGCCTGCAATAAAAATTATTATGAGTACTGAAATCAATCTAAATCTCGATAGACACAAGAGATTCCACCTCACTTCCATCCCGCTAACGAAGAAGAAGCTGCCAAGCCTTCTCCGGCGAAGTCTCAATAGCAACACTGTCATGGGTTTCAGATCTGAGCAATGGGCTTCAGGCCCGCCCATTACATCGAGTCTACAATGTGAAAATACATACGCTTCCTCATATTTATTACGAAATAAAAGCTGACGTGGAAAATTTCCACAACAGAATAACAGATTCCATATAACTAACCGTTACCTTCCCTCCAAAAGGGGCGTTTGAAGTTTCAACCTTCCTCAACAATGGGGTCATCAACTATCTCTGCCTCAACACTGGAGTCTTCCCTGCAAAATCCATCTGAGCCGGAGATAAACTCGTCGCCACCGCGCAATTACTTGGCTGAAACGCCGGAATCTTCCCTGCGCAATCCATTTGAGCCAGATATAAACTTGCCGCAGCGTAATTACTTGGCTGAAAGAGTGTTAAAGAGAAGGCTCATTGAAGAAGCTCAAGATGAATCCCTCATCCACGGCTTGGAACTTCAAGAACACGCAGCAAAGTTCCTTGAATCCAACGACCTTTGGTTGCTCCAAGAAGCAATCTATGAGTCCGACGAAACCAAGAAAGAACCGTTATCGAAAATCTTCAGATCATTCGAACTTCACTACCCTAATGCATTCTCATTAAAGCTCGTTAACATCCTCCAACTCCATCCTACGCGTCTAACACGAGTCGATAGCTTAGGTTACCTCCTTCAGATTCTCCAGAGAGGGGAAACGAGTTTCTTGAATTCATCTATCCTGATCGAACTCAAAAACCCTCTCCTTCATTCTTTTAAGGAGGAATCCGAAGAGGATATGTTGCCTAGGCTATGCGAAGCGATTGGCCTCCTTGTTGACAGGTTGCACCAATCTTCTCTCGGCGGTTGGGAGGAGCTTCTCCAGTACATTTATGATTGCATTTCCGGCGTCGCGAAATTGAACAATAAGAAAGGGCTTATGTTATTAACGGTTTCTTCAGTGAACAGGGAGTTCTGGCTGAATCAAGGGAACTTCGATCTTGTCTTCTCGATAGTTTCAGAATTGGTTTACTCTATGGATCAGGAATTAAAGGCACTGGCATACAATTCATCGATTTCATTGATATCATTGTCGAAGGATCTTCAGAGAACAAAAGTATCTGATTCTCTCTTGCCGATTTTGTTGAATACCATCGATCAACACGGAGAAGAAGTGGTTCTGATGAATAGGATTGAAAGTTTGTTGGATTTGGTTACACCGGGCGATGGAACTATCTTGAAGGGGAAACATGGTGATGTGTTTCGGTGTATGATTCGAGTAGCGGAGATAGAACATGCAAGCGAGGAACTAGGGTCTCTAGCTGTTTATGTTATTAAGGAGCTCTATGAGGCGAGTATGATCAAGAATCTTTCTCATGAGGAATTGAAGAGGGTCCTTGTAGTTGCTATGAACATGTTGTTGTGTGTTGTTGATGATCCTCTTTGGTATGATGTGGACTATAAGCATTTTATTAATGTTGGGATGACAGATGCTTTTTACCGTGGGAGCTTTTTATTCAACTCACTCATGTTAGATAGGGATGAAGGTGTGTTTATTCCCACAGCAATTGAGATGATAACAATAATATATGCATCGGATATTGATTGGCGGCTTCGTCATGCAGCAATGCTTGCCTTTGGTCGGATTGCAGAGAGAAACATCAAAGGGGTATGTATGTGGTATATGATATTGAATAAGCTTTGAACTCTCAAGTGTTTTCTTGATGATGCATTACCTTATAGAAAGAGCAATCATGTCATGTCATGTAATTTTTCTACGTGTTCTCTGTAGTACATTGTTTTTGAGAAGCGTGCATGTGTTTCTAGACAAGCATTATCCCTTTCACTTTTGTTATCATGCGAGCTAGGGTAAATTGCGACCAAGGATTTGAATCAGGTCTCCAGTCGTATCGCATTGTGACCCTGAATATTAAGAAAAATTGCAGACTTGCAATGTGGTTATAGGAACAAGAAAAAAATACGCCGCAGCCATAAATACAGTTGCAGGCAATTTTAAAAACCTTGGTCATGATATGAAATATGTATGTCATGTCCTGATGTGTGTTTGTATGTAACTTTAGGTGGATGAAGTTTGTATTTGTATTTTGCTTTCTCTTACACAAGCATAAACTTTAATGACACCACTGAGTTGAAATAATTGCATTCCTTGTGGAGTATGGACTTTCACTAATCAAGCACCAGCATTTAACAAATTAACATCTAATGGATTTTGCGAGATGCCAGTTACTGAGTTTGTAACTCTTGGTTGGTTACCTATAGTTGTGTCATTAGAAAGGCACATTCTTATGCGAGAAGCTGACAATTTGCAACTACATGTTTTTTCTGAGTGGACACAATCCTAGAAAATGTTTTTTGTTATTTATTATTTTTGCCGATTTTGTTCAGATCGTGTTATTTGTGATTCTAACAATTTTATTCAAACATGATTTTCTATTCCCTTTTCTACCACAGGACATGATACAGTACTTTGACCAAGTTGCAAGACTGGTCCTTAAGTCACTGGATGACCGGGACCCCCGGGTACTTTGGGCTACTATGAAAGCAATTGAGTCTTTGAGTGAATATAAGGAACTATTAATGCATGGTCAATATCACAAGAAGTTATTGGCTAAACTAGTTCCTATCATCAGATGTAACTCTTGTGCTCGTGTACAGGTACAAAAATATTTACGCTGCAGCTTGACATCAGTTAGTAAAAAGTTGTTTGTTTTCTTTGATTCAATTTATATGTTTCTATTCACCTTTGGACACCATAACGTACCAACAATGCAGGTAACTTTTAGTGCCAGCGCCGCTTCTCTGTGGAGTGTGGACTTTCACTCCACAGCCTTCTTTAGCGATTATTTCAATTCACTAGTTACAATTGATTGACTCTTCCCATATTGCATACAATCACTCACAAATAGCTACTCCACACCGTGATTAGTACTTGTGGACTTCATGAGAGATATTGACCTATTTTTCTTATTTTTAACTTGTTTTAAATTTTTACATTTTCTTCCGAAACGTTTGTTATTGTTATTAGTTTTCTCATATTGAAATGTGTACATTTTATCCTCAGTTTTTAGACATACTAGTAATTGTCTTAAAAACTGATTTCACCTTAGTTTTTCTATGTATACATTGAAACATTATTTATTAAGTTGTTTTGCAAATGGTATCCTTTGTTTACTATTTTCTGCAGTTATATGCTGTTATGGCGATTCATTCCTTGGTAAAAAATTGTGGCTTAGACAAAATATCACCTTTTGGGGACTCAATTATAGCATCATTACTTGCACTTCTTAAGGTACATGGTCTGCAGTTTTCAATATCAACTTCCCATTTACACATGTATTGTGGTTTTATATGCAATCATTGCTTACTGTACATAATCCATATGATTGTTTGTACATGTTTAATTGTCATATTGGTGTAGTCTCAACCATTATTTTTCTATGGTTTCTTATGTTTTATGTACTTACAATAAGTTAAATGGCTTTTCTGAGTTTTCAGCATGAAAAGCAGAAGTTACAGGTCGAAGCTATTGACACCCTGAAATCATTTGCAGTTTTAATGCCGGTATATGTTAATCTCTGAAATCTAGGAATGACTTAGATTTTGATTATGGCCAATAATTATGCTAATGTGATTTGAAGTGTAATTGTTGCATACAGGGAACTTTTCGCCAAAATCATTACGATACGGCATTGGAAGGATTGAAAGTCATTGTGTTTGATAAGTATAATTTATCTAGATTCTTGCTCTTTGCCAAATGTCTAGAATGCATGGTATATCTTGTTAGGAAAGTTGGGCCAGATAATTTTGAAGAGCAAGAAGTTGTTCAAGTGAGTATTTTTTCTAATTCTATTTTGAATTGACTCAAATAATATAGAATGTATCATTGAAAGCAAACTTAAAACTGAGATATAAATAGAAATTCAAAATTAAAAGGGGGATATATAAGATTTAATTTATAGGTCATACAAATACTTTTGCTATCGTTCAAGAATAGTCTTGATGTACGCCTTATGATCTTAGAACAATATATCATTTGAAATTTGGTTAAATCTGTGACAAATTCATATATCTCAAAGGTTGTCAAATAATTACGAAAGAATTTCTTATTGTTCTAACTGATCCTGTAACATTTCAAGGTCATGGAATCTGTAATATCAATTGAAGAAAACTTGAGCAGTACAGAATACTTAACAAAATGTTTCATCTTAAAGGTATATTTGAAATCAATTAAACCCCCCACCCCCACGGTGCGCGCGCACACACACACGTACACGTACACGATTATGCTAGTTGAAAGTTGACATTCCTAATTTTATAAACATTGTGCAGGCTCTGAATCAAATCTGTAGATGCCCAAGAGTGAGTATTGACAAATATTTAGATAAACTTATGCCAATGTTGCTTGGATCCGCTCAACTCCATCTGGCCTTAACTGTCGATAAGCTCAAGGATGATTATGAAAAGAATTTGGTTGAAACTATGATAGTTTGGGCATGTAATACTTTGTCATATTGTGCTGTTCGGTCATCTATAAACTTTTTCCCCAACATAGGCAAGGTTGTTTTGATAGATCTGATGTTTGTGGTTTATGTAGCGGTTTCTACCTAAAAGGGAAATATGTGCGACTAATTAAACATGTATTTTAATGGGTAGGTCACTGCATTGTTTACGCGCTTGCTTGGTTGTTCTAGTTTTCAAATCCGCAAGGCTTCTGTTTTAGGTGAAGCTAAATTTAAAATTACTTTGATTATTTTCTAATTTGTTTCATAAAAAATGTCTTCAAACTTGGGTTTGAGCTATTTTTGATAAAGTAATTCACTTCCTATTTCTAGGTCTTCCAAACTTATTACTCTCACTTAAAGTAGGTGATAAAAATATTGATACTAAAAGTGGTTTGACTTTCTTCATTGTGAACTCTCTCATTGAAGTGTTGAAGAAGGTATTTAGTTATCGTTCTCATTTCTTAATATATCAGTTAATCAGTTAATGGATCGACTTATTTCTTGCCATTAACACATGCAGGAAACTGACAGGGTTTTGTATGCAATTGTATGGAGCTTACTTGTCAAATGCATTCAGGTACAAAACAATTCTTCAAATGTATATATTGGTGATATGTTTGGATCATATTTATTTTTTCATATAAGCAACACATGTTCATTATGCAGACCTCTAGTTCATATTTCAATGATAAATTGATCAAGGTTATTGCTGACGAAATAGAAGATACAATAAGAATGATAATTGAAATTGAAATAACAAAAGCACAAGAAGTGGAGACTTCGGAAGGTAGATGTGAATCTTTACCAACTGAAGATAGAATTCAGGTCATATCTTTAAATTCTTTTGCTTTTGAATATTTTACATGTGTTATGTCAAATCCACTTGCTAAACTCTTTTCTTATTTAGTATTATTTAGAAAAAAAATTGTGAAAGAAAAATGATATGATCTCTGTTTGACCATCAGTCTATGGAACTCATGCTCAACACCGTTCCTTGCAAACTAAACAATTATTTCCAAAATAAACCAACCAACAATGAATCGTGTTTGGTGTTGTTGGGAAAGAGTGTCAGAATGTGTGATTTGCAGCGAAGTAGGGGTAAGTCGGAATTGAAACAGGGTTTGCCGAATTTTTTCTCACCAGAGGACAGTGGATCCACTGAGCAAGCACGGTGTACGGTTGCCTCTCAATAGGTTATGAATACCATATTAAAAGTGAGAGAGTAAGACATAATAAGAGGCATACACTAAAACTGCGTGTTTGAGTAGCATCACATCACAGGAATTCTGTTATATAGGCACTATACAATCAAGAGCATTAATGAAAATGACAAAGGAATATGCTCAGAACATTGAATATATTTATTTACAAACTATTTCTATATTGTTTAAATAATGTTTAATTATCACAAGAGTTTTATACAGTGTAAACAAATTTTGTACATATTTTAATTATATATATTAGAAGTAATTCATATTTATTAATTATATTATTTTCTTAGCCCCTAAGTTTGTTAGAGGGTATTTTAGTGTTTTTATCTTATTCTAGTAACCCTAGTATTAGCTTATAAATAGGGTATCAATCATTGCAATTTAGTAGTGTGTGTAGCCGTCATTCTCTTAATAGAATATTTCTCTATTCATCATTTATTCTACCTTTGTACCAACAATTGATATCTAGAACTCCGGTTCAGATTCATTGGGAAACACGGGAAACACGAGTGAACGTGAGGTCTTGTGTGTTTGATTTTGATTCTTAGATTCGTGTTGAATCTTGAACAAAATCTGATTAGAATTTTAATTCTGTGGGTTGGAAAACACTGTGTGAGAAATCTGAGTGTATTGTATAAGGTAGAAGATGAACGGAAACGGCAACATGAACACCAAACTTCCAGTATTTGACGGTAAAAACTGGAACCGTTGGATGATCCAAATGCGTGTATTGTTTGGTGCTCAAGATGTTCTAGATCTTGTCACTGATGGTTATGTTCCAGTAGCAGCAAATGCAACAGATGAACAGAAAAACGCGAAGAAGGAAGTAAGGAAGAAGGATCAGAAAGCATTGTTCTTCATTCATCAATGTGTGGATGTAAATATGTTTGAGAAGATTGCAGATTCAACAACAGCAAAGGCTGTGTGGGACACACTGTTGAGATGTTATGGTGGTGGCGCATCAGTGAAGAAGGTAAAGCTTCAGTCCTTGAGAAAGCAATATGAGAATCTCAACATGAAGAATAATGAGAAAGTCTCTGAATACATCTCCAGAATGATTCTGATAACTAATGAGATGAAGGCGTGTGGAGAAACTCTTTCTGAAGAAGCAATCATGGAGAAAGTATTGAGATCCCTTACCTCTCAATTTGATTACATTGTGGTAGCAATAGAACATTCCAAAGATCTGAGCACCATGAGAATTGAAGAGCTGCAGAGTAGTTTAGAAGCGCAAGAGTTGCGTTTGACTGAGAGAACCTCTGAAAAGGAAGTAGAGCAACAGACTCTGAAAGCAACTTCTGATAGGAGGTATCAGAAGCAGTCAGAAGTCAGGAGAAGATCTGATGGTGGTCAGAAGTCAGAAAGCTCAACCTCTGATAGACAAAAGAATGCTCAGAAGGGAAAAGAGAAGTATGACAAGAAGAAGATCCAATGTTACTGTTGTAAGAAGTTTGGTCACTTTGATAGAGATTGTTGGTCAAACAATGAGAGAAAATCAGAAGAAGCAAATATAGCCAGAAGTTCTGATGACGAATCTGTGCTATTGATGGCCTCTGAATCTGATAATATGGATCTGATAGACTGATAGTATATGGACACTGGCTGTTCTAATCATCTTACTGGAAACAAGAAATGGTTGATTGACTTTGACTCTGAAAAGAGAACAAAGATCAGATGTGCTGATGACAAATATCTTAATGCAGAAGTTATGAGAAACGTCAGAGTGATTCTGAACAATGGGAAAACAGCATTGATTCAGAACGTGTGGTATGTATCTGGCATCAGAAGCAATGTGATGAGTGTGGGACAATTAATTGAGAAAGGTTTTTCAGTTACCATTAAGGACAATCTTCTGAAGTTGTATGACTGCAATTAGAAGTTGATTATGGAGTCAGAACATGGAAGGAATAGAACATTCAAGGTGAATGTCAGAACTGTAGACTCAGAATGTCTTAGTGCAACAAGTGCTGAGAAGGAGAGTGAGTTGTGGCACAGGAGATTTGGTCATTTGAATTTCAGAAGTTTAAAACATCTGAATTCAAAGAAGTTGGTACATGGAATTCCTGCAATTAAGAAGCCTGAAAAGTCATGCAAAGTTTGCATGGAAGGAAAACAACCACAACTGCCATTTGCGTCAGAAGCTGTTCCAAGAGAAAAACATGCCTTGGGAGTTGTACATTTTGATGTGTGTGGTCCACTTCCAGTAGCATCAATTGGAGAGAATAAATACTTTGTGTTGTTTGTTGATGAATTCACAAGAATGACATGGGTATCCCTTATTAAGTTTAAACATGAGGTGTTTGATGAATTCAAGAAATTCAGAATGAAGGCTGAGAATCAGAGTGGTCAGAAGTTGAAGATTCTTAGAACTGATGGTGGAGGTGAGTATAACTCCAAAGAGTTCCAGAAGTTCTGTGAGGAGAATGGAATTGAGCATGAGGTTACTGCTCCTTATACCCCTCAACACAATGGTTTTGCTGAAAGAAGAAATCGCACTTTGGTTGATATGGTGAGAAGCATGCTAAAAGAGAAGAAGCTTCCTCAGAAGCTCTAGGGAGAAGCTGTTGCCACTGCGACGTATGTACTCAACAGATGTCCTACGAATAAGTTGAAGGAAATAGTTCCAATACAGAAGTGGACTGGAGATAAGCAAAGTGTTAGTCATCTGAAGGTGTTTGGTTCTGTTTGCTATAAACATGTTCCAGAAGGCAGAAGACAGAAGCTGGATGATAGAAGCAAAGTGATGATTCTGATAGGGTACCACAGTACAGGTGCATACAAGCTCTATTGTCCAGAAACCAATAAAATTGAATTCAGCAAAGATGTGATTGTGAAGGAATCAGAAGTTTGGAATTGGGATAAGTCTGAATCTGACTCTGATGTTAGAACTTCTGAAGAAAGGTCAGAGTTAAGAATTTCTGAAGTTGGAGTAAATTCTGACGTTGATTCTGATAGTGATTCAGACTCTGGAGAAGACTCAGAAGATGAAGGTGACTCTGATGACAATCCAAATTTTGGTGGCAATTCAGACTCTAAAGATGGCCAAGGCTCTGGAGGAAGTCAAGCCTCTGAAGCTAGAAATTCTGAAGTTCAAGACTCTGGAAATATGCCAGACCCTGAAGATGGTCAAAGCTCTGGAGGAAGTCAATCATCTGAAGCTCAAGACTCTGAACAAGTTCAGAGACCACAAAGAATCAGAAACATTCTCATAAGATATGCAGAATTTGACATGCTGCAAGACACTGAAGTAGACTCTGAAGGAGAAGTTATTCAGTGTGCCATGATAGTAGACTCTGAACCCATAAGTACAGAAGAGGCTCTTAAGCAGAAGCTCTGGCTGAAGGCCATGAAAGAAAAACTTGATGCTATAGAGAGAAACAAGACTTGGAAGCTGACAGAACTTCCAAAAGACAAGAAAGCCATCAGCGTCAGATGGGTTTTCAAGCAGAAGTTAAAGCCAGATGGTTCAATTGGCAAACATAAAGCAAGATTGGTAGCCAGAGGATTTCTACAAAAACCTGGGCTGGATTATTTTGAAGTGTTTGCACATGTAGCAAGACATGAAACCGTCAGAATGGTGATTGCAATAGCTGCTAACAGGAATTGACATCTGATGCATTTAGATGTAAAATCTGCATTTCTGAACGGTCCATTAGAAGAAGAAGTTTACGTGTCACAACCTCCTGGATTTGTGAAAAAGAATCAGGAAGGAATGGTGTACAGATTATACAAAGCTCTATATGGACTGAAACAAGCGCCCAGAGCTTGGAATCAGAAGATTGATTCATTTTTCAAGAAGCAAGGCTTTCAGGAATGTGAGATGGAGTACGGTGTCTATGTTCAGCATACTTCTGAAGGCAATATGACTCTAGTATGTTTATATGTTGATGATATACTATTGACTGGAAGTTCTGAACAAGAGATAGTCAAGTTCAAGAAAGTTCTGATAAATGAATTTGAAATGACTGATCTAGGCAAAATGACATATTTTCTAGGGATGGAATTCAGATATTCTGAGAAAGGTATCATTTTGCATCAGCTCAAGTATGAATTAGAACTTCTTAAGAGATTTGAATTGAAGAATTGTAAGATTGCTGTCACACTTTCTGATACAAATCAGAAATTGGATTCTGACTCTGATGGAAAGGATGTGGACGCTACAACCTTTAAACAATTGGTTGGTTCTTTGAGGTATCTGTGCAATACCAGACCTGATATTTGTTATTCTGTTGGGATGGTTAGTAGGTTCATGAGTAAACCTAAGTGGTCCCATTACCAAGCTGCTGTCAGGATTCTGAGGTATATCAAGGGAACTCTGAAGTATGGAGTGTTGTTTCCTTCTGAAAGAAAGGATGAGTCAGAACTTCTGAGTTATTCAGATTCTGATTGGTGTGGAGACAGAGTTGACAGAAGAAGTACCTCTGGTTACTTGTTCAAATTTCTGAGAGGTCCCATTTCTTGGTGTTCCAAGAAGCAACCTGTTGTGGCGTTATCAACCTGTGAAGCTGAATACATTGCAGGTGCTGTTACTGCATGCCAAGCTGTGTGGATTCTGAATCTGTTGCAGGATCTGAAAATTAAAATAAACAAACCTCTGAAGTTGATGATTGACAACAAGTCTACAATCAATATTGCCAGAAACCCAGTGTTGCATGAGAGAAGCAAGCATATTGAGACAAAGTATCATTTTCTGAGACATCAAGTTCAGAGTGGAGTGTTAGAAGTTGTACACTGCAGCACTCAGAAACAGTTGACAGATGTTCTGACAAAAGCCATCAAGACTGATCAATTTCTCAGACTAAGGGATGAAATTGGTGTTACAAGTTTTGATGGAATATGAATTAAGGGATGGTATTAGAAGTAATTCATATTTATTAGTTGTACTATTTTCTTAACCCCTAAGTTTGTTAGAAGGTATTTTAATATTTTTATCTTATTCTAGTAACCCTAGTATTAGCTTATAATTAGGGTATCAATCATTGCAATTTAGTAGTGTGTGTAGCCGTCATTCTCTTAATAGAATATTTCTCTATTCATCATTTATTCTACCTTTGCACCAACAATATACATGGTTTCATCACCCTATCACATGATTTTCATAAGGAAAATATGCACGGACATATGTGCGAGTCGATCTATAACTATTTAGAGGATTCTTTGATACCCTCGAGTTATTTTAGCTATACTCCTAAATTTTCATTTACATTTATGGATCATAGAGTAGGAATGATGATTAGACTTTTTACTCATCACAGGCGGTAGTTCACTTGATAACGACAACAATTGACACCTTTAAAGATCGATTCATGCCACATGTTGATGACCTCTTGTCAAATGTTGTCGTGTTTTTGGTATGTTCATTATTTCTTCTCATCTCAATGTTTTTTAGACGAGCTTGTTATAATCATCGTACTAGATATCCTGCATATATCAAAACAAGAGTAATATTAAATCAAGAGAAGAATAGTTTCAACTTCCTGTAAAAAAAATATTATTTTCAATGAACCATTTATATTTGAACTATGTTTGGGGTTATATATGAGATATGAAATTTGATATGAATGATTAATTTTTAATTTTAATAATTTATATTCATTTTTTATTAGTTTTTCTTTTTAAAAAAATTAATCCAACCCAAACCATCTATTCAAAATCAATTAAATCCAATCCACAGTCACTGGGATGATATACTCAATATTGCAAGTTCTACTGAATAATCTTAAGTAAAAGTTGTGTTCTGTATGCTATTTTTCTCATCAATTTTATTATCGCTTCTTCATAATCTTTGGCAGGCCGATGACAATTCAGATAGGCTGGTAGCTTTTGCAATTTCCATTTTTAATGTTATCTTGCCACTATTCCCAGACAAATTGCCTCTGTAAATCTAGTTTCTTTTATAATTTTCATCTAAAATTATAGCAATAATGAATGGCTATATTATTAATAGATCTTGTTTCTCTGTTCTCTGTGAACAGGTATCATGACAGATATAGTTTAGCCTCCTGTTTTGCATTAAGGAGAGACTATCCTTGTTCCGAGCTGGTATTTTGAAATATGTGTGACTAATTTAGTTTCTTTATTTATTTATATCTAAGAAACATGATCATAAGTTTTGGTAACGATTATTCCAGCATGCTACACGGGCTATTGGTATTTGTGCTATGTATGGAGGAGATCAATTTAAAGCCTTGGCTAGTGGTAACTTCTTAAGCACTTGTATATAGATGCACACGGATACATATATCAACTTTTGTTGGAATATGATCATAGGTTTTATGCAGAGGGTATCTTGGGACTATACAATGTCATGGGTAAAACAAGACATTGTATATTATGCGATACCGCAGTTGCATCTCTTGGAAAAATCTTTGAATTTCATCATGAAAGTATCGGCCCTAAGGTAATAATCTTCCAAAATATCATTAGAAAATACGATTATTCAGATGAGAAATAATAATTGGTTAGAGCTGCTTCAACTAATATTCTATCATGCTTCAGAAGCAAGACAGTAAGTGATACAGGACCAGGATATTGGTTCCACAAGTTTCTCTTAGGCTTCTAATTATATTACACAAATTAAAATTTTCGTGCAGGTGTTAGAAGTGCTATGTTAACATATAGTAGTCATTAAATTAATTGCTAAATTTTCTCAAGCACCAAAAATATCATGAGAATTACAGTAGTAGTAATTTAGTCAACATGAGCAAGTGCTAACCTTGCCTTGCCACCTGTTTTCCCCGTCAATCATAATGTTTTTAAGCAGGCGATTCAAAAATGGTTAAACTTTTTGCCATTGAAGCATGATTTCAACGAAGCTAGATATGCACACGGGCTGCTTTCTAAATTAATACAAAGGTGTTGAATTGTTCTTATGACCACTTTTTGCTTTATATTCAAATTATTACTATATTCATTGTAAGCTGGTTATATTGATCAGGTCGGATGAATACCTATTTGGAAGTAATAACGAGAATCTTGCCATGATCATATGCATTGTAAAAGAAGTAAGTCAAAGCAATTTTCTTTACTTCACTGAAATATGGATTTATCCTAATATATTTTCTTTTAGATTTTATCTGGACCCGACCGCTTGGGAACCGAAGAATCTATTAATCAGATGATTGACTTCATAGATCAACATGGTGGAGTGGAAGTCGAAATAGGAGGTTAAAGTTTATGTAGAGCATCAAGCACTATATATGTCCATACACCATTTCTCTAATTATTAGGCTTTAATTTCTCTGTTGATTTATTGTCTTCTAATTGAATTGCAACAAATAATACACATGTAAATGTAAGTGTTTTTCCTTTGCTGCAAGCACGCTTTGTTTGGGATATCTGAGATTTGCCTCTTGTTAGTTACGAAGTTATTAAGTATGAACACTACACAACATTATTGACAACAATGTTTCGCCCCGTTGCTTCATATCTCTGTTTAGGAAACAATAGACATCAAAGTCAATATGTCCGAGTGGTTAAGGAGACAGACTTGAAATCTGTTGGGCTACGCCCGCGCAGGTTCGAACCCTGCTGTTGACGAATATTTTATTTTCTTCTTTTCTCTTTGCACTCGATTAATCGCGTGACAACTTGAATGTAATATATATCACTCAATACTCACACACTAAAAACCTAAAGGATTGGTATGCTCGTAATATTTTAGTATTTGAGTTTAATTACCATGTATCAATAGTGTAAAAAATTAGAGTGTTCTTTTTTAATCAAAATTTGACTTTGGACACTTTTTTTAATTAACTTTGCAAATTAACATGTCAATGAGATTTTTAAGATAAAATTGTGTGTACCTTAAACGGAAGATCTTTAGGTTTTATATAAATCTCTTGCATTTTATTATTTGAAAGTTTGGAAAAAAATGATGATCTTTAGGTTTTACATTTTATTATTTGAAAGTTTGGAGAGAAAGAAATAGAAGAATTTTGATAGAATATGATTAGAGAGAAAAATAAATAAACTTTTTAATTATTTTTAACGAGAGATTTTAAGTAGAATGATATATGAATAATTACTATTAATATATTTTTAATATAGATTATGATAACAATATATATTGGATTTGAAAATTCTATCTGACCCCTCCAAAGTTCTTAAAACCCATCTTTAATATAATTTTTGAAAATTTTTTATGGCACTTTTTGGACTTTTTAGACACCATGCGCGCTGATAAAAATGCTTCTTACTTTCGGAGACGTATTTCCGAACGCACATTTTTTTAGTTTTTTTTAATTAATTTTGTAGATGCGTCTACATAATTTTTTCGTATGTGTATATACAGAAGAAACCCAGAATCAATAAACCAGAAAATCAAAATTGCAACGATAAAATTAACATTTATAAAATAAAATCGGCGTTACATTGATGATTTCGACAGAAATTTAAATACTACATTTCAATAGTCCGGTGGACGCTTCCACATCTCTAAGATGCCATCGACCGTTCTTTAGACTGTCGCCTCCAACTCGAGCGAGATTTTCTCTTCGAAACCGAAATACGTTCCCCACATTGCCCTAACATCGTCTTGATTCTTGAGCTCAAACTTGCTGTAAACAACGTTCCCTTTGTTGTAAACTGAAGGTGAACGACACTCAAGCTTCACAACCTTTCATTTGTCATTGTAAGGTAGGCGATATTGGATCTCGTCTATGATATCGGCGAGAGGGGTGAGATTCGTGAGCTTGAACGTCCTCCCGAATGTTTTGCCGTCGAAAAAGGAGACACTTGTGACATACCAACAGAGCTTGATTTGGAACAATTAAGAATTTTTTGTATTTGTGTGAATGATAACAAATGAAACCCCAAATTTATAGAAAACGTAGGTGAATATGGACCAACCATATTCTATCAATCTTTTTCCGGAGCTATATCTACGACCGATATCGAGCCCGAGAGACTTGATTTTCCAATCTTTCTTGAGGGCTCAATGGAAGTCTCCCTTAAAAGGTTGAATGCCTTGCATGAGGGACTTAGTTCCTCATCATTCGGGCTATGCATTACAGCGTCTGAGGAATGTAGGTTCCTCAAGCTAATTAGTCTCTCGCCTGAGGGACTTAGTGCCCCCTCAGGCAGGACTATTTCCAATCATGGTTGTCAATCTCACGGGTAGACTCGTAAACTCGTACGAGTTTACAAGTCTAGGAAGCATAAACGAATAGACTCATGCATATAATTATTTTTTGATAGACTCGAGTAAACTCGGGTAGAGTCGCACAAACTCGTATAGAATCGCGAGTGTATAAAGAGTTTACGAGTCTATAAGTTTTTATTTTGAATATTTTTAAAACCAAAAGAGACCTAAATTCCCTAAAAGATTTTATTTTATTTATAAAAAAATGTCTTTTTTTTTTGCTTGTGCGAGAATTAAAAAACCTTTCTCCTAGTCTCTTGTTTCAACAAAGTTTCTTCCTCCCTTCATCAACAGTGTGGGTTTGTTCTGTCTATTGCTTTGATTGTGTTCATGGTTGTAAACCAATCATTTGTTGTGTAAGTATTTTCTTATATGTTTCAATTGGATGTTTCTCATGTATGATATCTTGTGTAAAGGTGATGCGTCATTGTCCAATCAGGTCCAATGATCCCAATACACAAGTATCAATTTGCATGTGACAATATAGTTTAGAAAACTGATGATTTATGGAAAAAAAATAGTTTAGGAAGGATATGTTACCTACTGAAGGGTGAGATTTATATGGAGATATGACTCTAAAATTAAAGAGGTTTGCATTTCATTTGCTAAGCTTAACTTATAGCTCATCTGATTTTGAACGTAATTGGAGTTCCTTTGAAATGGTAATGAATTATTATTTGTTTGTTTATAGACTTGATTTTAATTTTTTAGAAAAATTTAGTTGAATTATTATTTACTTTTTAGGTTCATACAAAGAGAAGAAATAGGCATCAAAAAAAGGTGAGAATTTTGGCTTATGTCATGTTTAATTTAAAGTTGAAAAGTGGAAAAGGAAAATTAAATAGTGTTGTTATTTTATTTGAAGATAATCATTTAGATGATGAATGGATAATTGAAGACCCTAATGAACAAACTATGCAAACAAAAGTAAATGTTGAGTAAGATGATGTTATTGTTAATAATGTTATGAAATTAGATGGAAGTGAGGCTTCAAACAATCCAACATTGATTAATGATGAAGAAGGCGTTTCATCTAAGGTAAAGTTTAACGATGATTCTTAAGATACAGATAAAGATGATGGTGATTATATTGGTGGTGGTGATTTCACAAGAGCTTTGGATGATTAAAGCTAATATCATATATGTTTTTTTTTTGCTTGATGTAGTAGCCAATTAAAAAGATATTATTAATGTAAGTCTTTAACAACATACTTGACAATATTTTTTGTTATGAAATTTGTTATGGATTATGAAATTTAAAATTTCATGTTAATTGGTGTTCTATTATATATTTGTGTCATATAGGAGAAATTTATAAGTTTAAAAACCTAGGAGCGTGTCATATATGTGTCACTTATAGGTTTTTGAAAGTCTTTTTTAATTTTTCATAGACTCGTACGAGTTTGCGAGTCGAGTCTACAAACTCTTAACAAGTCCGTGTAGACTCGCGAGTTTGACAACCTTGTTTCCAATAACTCGCGCTTAAGGAGTGCAGAATATATTGAGCCCTGACGACATGATTTCTAGACTTACTTGAGGGCTCGATGCAAGTTCTGCCCGAAAGGTTGAACGCCTTGCCTAAAAGACTCAGTGTCTCACCAGTCATGTTATGCATTACATCGTCTGATGGACGTAGATTCCTCAAGCTAATTCGACTCTCGCCTAAGGGACTTAGTGCATATAGAGTTTAACCTCTTAAGGATGACTAAAACCTCGTGAGGGGAAGTACTAGTTCTCGAGGCACTCTCGTTAGTTACTGGTGAAAAACACCTCGCCTTCTGCCGAAAGCATCGTGCCTGAGGGACTATGTAGTGTTATCTTTGCAAAAGACCTTGCTTGGGACGATTCCATGAGACCTCCATAGGAGAGGCGACAATGAAAGGTCGCCTCGAGGCAGGTATCACATCGTCCTTGAGTCTTCCCTTGCCCACACGAGAAAAATATGGGATAAGATGTGTCTTGGACAAAGAGAAACTCAGGATCATTACTGGCTCACATGTCCCTTGAAAGCAGGGATTCAACTGTCTACTATTTGACTAGGTGGGCATTGACCTTTTTTGAGGAAGCCCTAGGTCCTAGAGACCTCTATAAATATGTCACCCCTCAAAGGTATAAAGGACAAAATCTAAGTTATACACACTTTCCACAACTCAAAGAGCACCACACTTGTTGCCATCTTGACATACACGATCAACCTAACCGCCTACCTGCATTCCTAGCAGCATTGGCCACCAACATGACCTCTCACATTACAAGTGTGAGTCCCTTAAATAGTCTAAAAAATGACCGTACAAGGTTTCTCGCCATCGTGGGCAAAACCTCACTAACAAAACATATTATACACCTACTAAGACTTTTGAGTCTCAATGTGCAGAGAGAACACACACACATGTACTTTTTGACCAGTACAATTTTATATTACTGATTATTTAGTTTGCAAATTGCAATTAATATGGATATTAAAATATTTGAATTCACATGATTCAAAATTTGAGATATATTAACTTCCAATTTTTTTTTGTTAAAAAAGAGGGCCTAGGCCCAAGACAAGAAAAAACTACAACAAAATTAATCTCGGGACAAAGGATCCCATAGCATCAAAACGAACTAAATGTCTAATGAACTCCGGATAAACTTTACGAAAAATCAAATCTTCTCCACTAGTAGCTCCATATTTTTCCAAAGCATCTACATAGTTATTTGCCTCTCTATATGAATGAGAGATTTTGACCTCTCCAATCCTTTCTAGCATCCATCGAATACGATTCAACAAAGAGAAACTATCCATCCCGATTTAAAACTAAGTAATTGATACTTGATTTAAATATTATTTTAAAATTTCAATATTATTTTTGCAAGTTTAATACATGAGTAATTGAATTTTAGGAATGTGATATGATATATTTATTGGTTTTTAGGTGAAACAGGACAAAAAATTGTTTTTTGGTTTATCGTAAATGTTGGGTTCACTTATATATATAGTTATATTATATTGTGAAAAAAATAATTAATTTTCATACAAAAATGGT